TCATTGTTGTTTGGCGGGTCCGGGCTGGGGATTCGAACCCGCCACCCTAGGTGTACGTGGCTGGCGCCTTAGCCAGTTGAGCTATGAAAAAGTTAGTCTTACATTTACAATGAGCTCACACGCATCAGCCCAAACAGAAAGCAAGGTAGTTAGTATCTTTGTCTTCAAGTAGAGATAATAATTTATTTCAAATAGGTACCAGGTGATTATAAATCAGCTAAGATAATCCCTCCTGAAAAACAGAAAAGTGAACCAACAAACCTTTAACGTCTTATTGTGACGCTGAAGTTCCCTGCAAAGAGACTCTAGTTTGCTTCTTGCCAAGATAGCCTTGCTGTGTTCACTCTGCAAGTGAACTTTCTCTTTCACGATCTGGGCTTGCTTCTTCTGTAGAATCTTCATTTGCTTCTGGACATTCCTGCTTTCCTCCAGCTAAAATTAACAAGCACTTTACATTTAGGAACTATGGTAAAAACCTTAAGAGTTACAGCTGAAAGAATTATAATGATGTAATATTTTATTTGAATTGTTTCATGCCATGCTACGCTGCCAACCTTCTCTCTTTTCCAGCTGTGACAGAGAAATGAGCAAATTTAGGGTAGAAAATAAATCTTAAATATTTTTTAACCTTTTAGATATATTTAATTTTCACAACAATCCTTAGTACATGTATCCATGGTTTATAGAAGAAGAACTATATCAGCCCAAGATTCCATAATTAGCATTAGGTGAAGTGGGGATCTGAACCTAGAATCACTGACTTTCTCGATTTCCATGTCGGCCTGCCATCCTCTACAGTCCTCGATTCTACCAACTTGCCTAACACCGGACATTCACCACAGCTCTTCTTCCTGGTTTCAACTCAATGACTTACAGATAATGTGGGCTCCTCAGTTTCCAGCTACAATTCCATGCTTTTTGAACTAAGGATGCCCTTCAACTGGATGCCTCCTGCCCCAGAAGCTTCCTGGGGCCCACTGGCAACACTGCCCAAGTGTTCTGGTATTAATCCTTTGGAAAATGAACTAGCTCTCGTTCTAGGTGAGACCTACTCTGATGTTGAAGGCCAGGATTAACTCAGTTCTAAAGCCAGGTATATCCTGAATTGCTGTTTGCTAGGTGATTCTAGACTATTTCCTACCTGTTACAAGACCTGCTAAAATCCACATATAACATATGGGTTTATTGTGCTTTGTGTCTCTTTAAAAAAAAAAAAAACTGATGTTTTAGGAAATAAACACCAATTGTTACTTTTCTAAAAAAACATTGACAGGCTTTTGTATTGAAACAGTCACCAGAATTCAGAAGGCAGTAAAGCAGCACTCAAGGTTCTCTGTGAGGAAGAGAAATTGCTACAATTTTAGCTTTGGAGCAAATGAGTCTATCTCAAGGTGAAGTCAACATTAACAGATAAGATGGCAGCCTCACTGACCTTTCAGTAAAGCTTCTCCTGGAGAAGGAAAATGCTGCTGAGTCACAATTTCAAGAGCAAGAGTGACACCTTGTGGCTCATCAAAATATATCAAGCAAACTTACAGGCAATACACTTAGATAATAAGAATACTTTTTCTGAAATTCTCGCAGGAAAAACTTGTTTAAAACCTGTATAGAAACATTATACACTGTTTTTGTATAACGATGTTGTGAAGTAACCTTACTATGGGGTGCCAGCACCAGTGCTGCACACACTGGCAGTAAGTTCGCCTGGTCTGTAGCTCTCCTGCCTTCCCCCGCCCTCAATCTTGGGTTGTCCTTTTTGTCCTTTGTTGTCCTTTTTATGTTACTTTATTTCTTCTGTGTGTAGTTCTAAAAAATCATCATCATCACCTCTTTGGTTTTAGTTGTTTTGACTTTATTGTGCCCAGGGCAACTGAGGAATTGAATTTTTTACTTTCTTTAGTTTTAAATAGCCACATGTGGCTAACAGTTACCATCTTGGACAGCACAACTTTAGCTTATTACATTGCTAGGGCTCATCCAAAGTGTTGGCACATAGCTAGAGATCAGCTAGAAAACTTTGTCTTAAAAACATAAAACCATTCTTAGGCTGTGGGCAGTGCAAAAAGACTTTGGCCAGATTTGGCCCATAGGCTGCATATTCTACTTTTTGAAAACATATCACACATACACACAAAACACGTTATTAATCCATTCTCTTGTGTCATAGGCATCTGGGTTGTTTCCAGGTTTTGCTATTACTTGCAGTGGTATGAACATTCTCCTATGTTTTTCTGGTATGCACGTGCCAAGAATTTCTCTTGTGTGCAGTCCTAGAAGAGGGGTTGCTGGGTAATGGTTTCTAAACGCTTGATTTCACATGACAACGCCAAACTGCTTTCCAGAATGGCTGGAAAATTCACATTCCCAGCAGCAGGGCAAATCACATACAGCCACATCCTCTCCAAAGCACAGCACGATCAGATCTGCTTCATTAATGCCACTTCAGTGGATATAAAATGGCATCTCACTGTGGTCTTGATTTGCATTTCCCCTAATCACTAACAAGGTAGAATATCTCTTCATATGTTTAAGAATCTAAGATATCGGCTCGGCGCCTGTGGCTCAAGCTGCTGGGGCGCCAGCCACATACACCTAAGGTGGCGGGTTCGAATCCCCAGCCCGGGCCCGCCAAACAGCAATGATGGCTGCAACCAAAAAATGGCCGGG